CATGAGGTTTAAATAGAAATATAGTAATAATTGAATTTAATTAATTGGGCTTTTAGCAAATACAGAACTGTATCTCATCCTGGCATGTAACTTCAAAATGCATTTTTATCCTCACAAACCAGAGCATTTGCTCTCTTCTTTTCCATGCTCATGACTGGCACCCATCCCTGCACCCTACTTCCCACAAGCATCTTTCTAAGAGCTCTTTTATTTGTCTTTATCCCAATGAGGATCAGGTGGCAGCTGCTAATGGATGCAGAGTAAGACACATGAGAAAAAAGAATCCTAACTTTATGTGTACAGTGGTGGGTTCTGAATTAGCCATAACTACTCAGGGAAGTAGGTTTGCTGTTCTGGTAGTTCTGTGAAAACAAATGTGACCCAAATTAAATTGGTAGATAGCTGGGTCCAAACAAACAGGAGTTATAAATAAGCTGTGGCACTCTGCTGCAGGATGTTGTGGTTGCTAAAAACTTACAGGACTTCAAAAATCAACAAAATTCACAGATGAAAAATCGATAAAAAACTGTTAATGAAAAAAAATACCAACTCTAGCTCCAAAATTTGGTGCAAATTGCCAGAGGATGGGAGTATATAGGGGGCAATATCGCTGTAGAATTTCCCTATGTTTATATTCTTCAGTAGGCAACTGCCACCATCCACTATCAGATGCCAGCTGCTGAGCTCAATGGACTTTTGATCTAACATGATACAGGCACCCTTAAGTTGTTTGTCCTTTCCTGTTGGTCACTGTTCCCGCTGTCATTCTGTTCAGGTTCGTAGTCTTTTCCAAATTTGCTGTCTGCTAAGTCTGCAAGACCCAGTCTCCATCCCTTTCAAAGAGCCTCGAGATACCTGCCCATGTACAGATTTCACTTACAGCTACAGAACAATCAGTATTCACCTGGGAAGGGTGGGCAAATTTCCCCATCACTTGTTAGTGGGGGAAAAAATAGCATACTTAGGGGAAAGAAAATCACTATAATTCCCTAAAAAAGTACAGTATAAGAGTCAAAGTCTGGCTGAATATATTTTTGATGACTTGGTAGAAGAGTTGTGCTCTTTGATCTCAATGTGTGAGCAACCAGACTCAAATGTTTTTAAGAATAAAAATTCCTAAATACTTGGGAATGTATTCACTATACAGTTCATTCACAGAGAAGGAGTCACCGTTTTCCCTTCCATCCCTCATAGAAACAGGGAAGCTTGATTTTAAGCTGCATGTCTATATTAGACCTCTTTCCTTAAAAATGGCACTTCTGCTATCTCGAATGAACATTTATACAGGGATAGCAACTGTGAGAAGGCTGAGTTAGGCTGTGTACAGTCACTGTGGTTCAGCCAGCTTTTCCCAGAGATGGTCAGAGCATGGTCAGGGAAGATAACTTACTGGTAAAGTGTCACTGGACATGGAGACCATTGCTCCTGCCTCTCTAGCATTTACTAGTGATCAATTGTGTACAGCATGCAGACTTCTGGGCACATAATTTCTATATTCATAGCCATAAGCACCGAATAATTTAGATAATTTAGTGTATTTTCAGTCTTTCAATTACAGAAAGAATAAAGCTGGTTCTGATGAAAGATCTTAAGTGAGAAGATGTTATTTCACTTAGCTTACTTAAAAGAATCACTGTCAGCACCAGCTAAATGCCTTTCTTTTCTCTCATGAATAAAAATCCCGATCTTGAGAGCTAGAGATCCGAGGTGTGCTGTTTCTGCCGAACTGAGAATTATACAAATGGCAAAGTATGTCACACTATTTTGTTTCACTTTCTTCTTTTACTAACTGTTTTTTTCTGTTCCTGCCATATCTTCTAGGAATATTTGTTCTCTGAAGGCAACTCTGATCTAGCTTGTAAAGTAAATGATTCCCAAACATTCAATATATGGGCCATTTTAACTATGCTAGACTTAAAAAAAAAAAGTATTAAGACTTACAGAAGTAGGCAGTATTTAGATAAATGAAATGGCTAAATGTTACCAATTATATCAAAGTGGACAGCTTGGAGGTTGCAGAATTTTGCAAGAGTTTGTCCTTAGGTCACCTTAATTATCTCAAACTGGCACTTCTTAACTACTAAGCACCTATTCAACCATAGTGTTCTTATATTTCTTTTAGTAAGACTATATGTAATACCCAGAGAGACCAAATCTTATAGCATAAGGAGTTTTCTTTGGCATGAATTTGGAACAGTTACATTATTCATGAATAGCAAAGCCATGAAGAAATTATGCTGGGGACTAATTAGGACCCCTGTTTATGTTTTAGTCAACTCTGCATCAGAGGAGAGAAAACTTCGGATATGTTGAAGCGATTAACAGTTTAAGCTTCAACATATGTTCCAATCAAACATGTGTTAGCCAGCTGTGATGGACCATTTGGAATAGGGACTGCTCCCTTCCTTTTTAAAAGCAATCCTTTCAGACATCAGGCTTCAGGATGGCAGGTTTTTTGGCTTCTGTGTGCCAGATTGGAAGGAGCTGCCAGGCAAGGATCTCCTCCCTGCAGTGACACATGGCAGTGCTGGTAGATATTGGGAATCCCGAGAGCAAAAGAGAATAATGTCTCCTTGGAGGTGACTTACTTTTCCAGTCACCTTTTACCTTCCCTGCTTGTCTCAGGCTATTCATTCAACATCTGAAGCCCTGCCTTATTAGGCTTATTTGCATGAGCATATTAGGAGTTATTCTGGAGTGATATTGGATTTGGACTAATAAAGTGAAGGACTTGCCACCCAAAATTAATAACATAGGGATGGGTAATAATAAAAGCAAGCTCAAGTCTGTAAAATTACTTTAACTCTTTTACCATGTCAGTATGACTAGAGAGCTGATCTCCATGGCTAGTCTAGCACAAGGACATCACGTGGCAGATTCAGAATGATATGCAGAGTTTGCAGAAGCAGGGTAAATACTGCTTTGCTGACACCTTGATGTGATGGTCCCTACCTAGGGCCATGATGTGGGAGAGCTAGGACCACAAATAGCGAGAGTTTTGAGGGTGTGGATTTGAAATTCTCTCTGTTACACACATAGGAGACATTTCTGGGGACAACTGAGGTTCATTTTTATGTATTTAGAGACTTAATATTGGCATGTATCTGGGAGACAGAAACTAGATTTCTCTGCTAAGCACCATACAAATTACAGAGAGAGCAAGCAAAAAAGAATGAAATAAGAATGATGGCTTTTTAGACTCATAAATTAAACCACGCCGTGTGTTACTTCTCTAATTTCTTTCATAGTGGTTTATACCAGAGTCCTAGCAATCCCTGCTCGTGTTACTTCTGGCATTCTACAGTGCAAATCCTATAGAGAGCGCAAGTAAATAATGCACAGACATGTGTAGGTGACAATGCCAGCCAGATTGTGTATGCAAGTGATTATGTATGAATTATGTGCGCTGACAAAGCAACACACAAATGGATTGCTGGGATGAGGTGCCTTTCAAAAAGCAAACAAAACTTTGCACTTCAGTTTGCACTTTCTGTTTTGGGGTTGTTTTAAGATAACCTGCTTTTCCTGACTCTCCCCTTAAAATTTTGCCATTCTCCTTAAAGGCTTGTTCTACTACCCTCAGTCTTTTTTAATAAACTTAGCAGTGGGGGAAAGCTCTGCCCTGGGCCAGGAACCCTGAGAATAAAGAAGAAAGTTGTGTGCTGTTTTAAAGGCAAAAGAGCAGGTCAGCTTACATCAGCAGAGGCCTTGTTACTTTATATTCAGAAAGAAATGTGCTCTAAGCAGCTATTATTAGCCTTTCTTCAACCACTCTTCCAACTTCCACATAAAGTTTAGGAATCCATTCTCTTATGGGAAGGTTTTCTTGAAGGATTTTGGAGGAAATGAGCTCTTCTGTGAAAAAGCTGTTTCACATAATAAACTTTACAATGCCAGTGAATAGATATGAGACAGTTAAACAACAGAATAAATCTTCTCAGTTTTATGAAGGCACTTAGTTTCTGCCTACTTTCTCCGAAGTATAAAATGCCAGGACAAATCCTGAAATCTGTCTCACTCAGGTCCCCTATAGACAAAATACTAATTGAAGTTAATGGGAGCATGACTCAGGCAAAAACTTAAAATCTGGGAATTGTAGTGCATGCCCTTTAAAACATTAAATGAGGAGTTTCAGACAGGGCAATAGGAACTTTTCAAAAACTTCTGTATCCCACTTTCAGCAGTGACACTTGATATTTGAAAACCTGAGTCTTACAGAAATCAAATTAAATGTAGCTCGTGGAGCATCCTAGTGCAAATAGCACAATTAAATATTAGTCTCCCAACTTACTTTCAAAGCTGTAGAAATTTTTTGTTTAGCCCTTACTAAAGAAAGGTAAAATGGTTGGGTTTGCCTCCTCAATATATAACAAACAAAAAATATGGCTGAAAATGTTGTCCCACTTTCTCTACTGTTGAGCCTATCTGTGTGATGTCAGTAGTTACAAGTTAAGGATGTAAGGCTTAAGGAAAATTTGAGTTTGTAAGAAACAAATTTTTTGCAATTTTCTGGCCACTGTTCCAAATGAGTGGCCTGTTGAAATTCTGACCTCCAAATCTGCAAGAAATAAAAGGAAAAAAATAATGTTTGTTACTTCTACTTCAGAGTCAGAAAATTCTGCATATGGCAAACACAAAGTTTTTGTTTCGTTTGAAAATGAAAGCAGTGTACAATACACCTGAACTTTTGGATTTAGAATATATTTGAATTTTATCGGGATGCATGGATGTCTCAGAATGGATTGTACCAGGTTGGAAAGGCTCAACTAATTTGAATTATATTGTGTAAAGCAGTTGCCTCAAAGAACTTTTTTTTCCCAAACTTTCAGAAACTTTAGCGTATTTCAGAGCTTCTGAAGTTAATTTAAAAGCAGGATTTTAGATGACTATTTCCACCTCAGAGATCTTCCACTGTTGCAAGAAACTAGTGTCAGAAAGAGTTTCTCTCTCTAATGAAGATTATTTTTCCTTCCTCTTTCCTACTTCTCATTTCCTGTCAGTCGGAAGTGTCTTGGATCCCCAACAAACACTACTCTGGGATTTACGGGCTGATGAAGTTGGTTCTGACTAAGACTCTACCTTCCAATCTTGAGCGAGTCATTGTCCTCGACACAGACATAACATTTGCCACTGACATTGCTGAGCTATGGGCCGTCTTTCACAAGTTCAAAGGTATTCTAATGATTTTTTTACTGTCTTTATTTGAGAGGGAGGGAGAATGGTAAAGCTAACAGTACAGCGGGGTTAAAAGGGCTATCTGAGATTTGTTAAATGTTTTCATTCTTTCGATTTTTGGTGTTTGATATAATTGTTTTATTTGTGAGCTCTTTGCTCAACGATGTTCCTTACAGAATGATTGATAACACTGATTATCTATGTAGTTAGTTTTATTAGTCTAATTATTTGAGACAGATGAGAGCTTGGCAATACAGTAGATGATAAAGAATTATGAAGATGCTGTAGTGATGTACCATTCAAGTACCTGTTGGTATTCAATACTTGGAGGAACTTGTTTTATTTTACTTTTTATTAATAAAGCCTAATTATTACTTTCAATATAACAACTTCTCCATGTTACCACTGAAAATGAATGAAGTTAGGATCATACTTGGACCAGGGAAGAGGATGAAGGGGGCAGAGTTATACATGTGAATAGAAATGAGTTACTTCTTGCTCCTCTTAATGAGTTGATAAAGGATTTGAAGTATCCACCTAGAGTAGTTTTCTCTATCTATCCCCATTTCCCACAGCTCCTTGAAAATTTCCTTGATAGTTTGACCAAGAAAGGAGACTTTCAGAGTAACTGTGCAAGGAGATGCTCACAAGAAAGCTCTCCACTACCCTGTCACAAACCAGAGCACTCTCCTGGCTAACACACTGCTAAAACCATTTAACTCTCCCAGGCTCCAGTGTTGCCAGCTTTTTCAGTCAGAGATGTGCCCTGTTGTTCTCCTCTTGCCCTCAGAATATGTATTGGAGTGCTGGTAAGTGCAGAGGCATTCCAGTGTCCTGGTTCGAAGGTTTACAGCCCCGTAAAAGTGTCACCTTGATGCATATCATCAGCTCTCTTAAAATCACCTCAAGCAAAGTCAGCCTAAGCAAATGGGACTATTTATTTACAGAAGCCAAAATAAACTACTCTGTTAGAAAGGTGACAAGAAGAAAGAGCACATTTACTCCACTTATCCCATGCTGAAATCCACAAGGCCTCTTTGCCTTTCCCAGTACCCAGCTAACGGGCAGGAGCTATTATCTTCAGCTCGACGGTCAAGGACTGGGTGCGAGTACTTGCTTCTTGGTGCACTTGTTTCCTCCCTTCTCTGGATACATTGATGTCCCTTCAGCAGGCCAGAAGCAATCACCTTCTCACTTAACTATTCACAAACGTGCTTTGTTAAGGAATATAAAATTTTACCTCCTCTTCAGGTTTTGTTCAGACCTCTTCACCAAGCCTTTCCCTATTGAGTTTCATAGAAACGTATACCTTGTAATTATAATTTACATAAATGTATGCATAGGGAGTAATGCTGTGCTATTGTACTGTCTCACTGTGTGCTACTTTCCTATTAATAGTAATATTTTATTGAATATGGTGTATTAGCATGATGTAGCAGGTAAAGAAATGTGTATAAACTGAACTCAGGCATTGTCAAAGACAGCAAAATCTGAACTGAGACGAGGGGGATCATCTCCTTGCTTGTATTTTCTGCCATAGTTTCAGTGAAGGTCCCTTGCTTTTTACTGGGGAAAGAAACCAAGTATAAAGACTGCTCGTAAAGAAAGGTATACGAAGCGGAGGCAGGCCTAAGATGATTGAAAAAAATACAGACAGAAAATATGGAAGCATGGAGAAGGATAATTACTAGAAGTAAAAAAAATGGGTGTAAGTCAGTCTCCATAGAACTAGGCAAGTTTGTTCAGCTGATTAGAGCTGTGAAAAGCTCAAACTTACACATGGAGACAGAATTCCTGTGCTACTGCCAGCCCTCATAACATACGTATCACAGCTCCCAAATGTATGATTTTGTAAGTTGTCCGGTCTGTCTTTTTAATTCCAGCTGACCACCTGCTTCTTCACAATTTTTTAATCCCGGCAATAAATTGGTCAGTGTCTACATCTGCTCATCTCCCAGATGGTCATACACAAAGAAAGAATTAATGGCACAATCCCATAGCCCCGGGAGTTGAGCAGGGTAGGAAAGGACTTTGGAAGACACGTATGCCCAAAATAATGATCCTAAGTGCTGGGGAGGAGAGAGAAATGAAAGTTTCTGAGCACAAGCTTGTTTTCCAGCCTGTATCATAGGGTGTAATCTCATTAGGCAAAGACTCACTGGAAATGGCTGATCCTGGAAAGCAAGAGCAAGTAAGTTGGAAAGATACTGTTGCTCTTTTACTGCTTTGTAAAATATTGCTTTAAATCATATGATGATTCTCAATTTGTCCTCAGTGTCTTTTTCTTTCTCCTGCCAGCATTACAAAAGATTCAAAGGATGTCTCATGTCATTAGCCCCAAATAGTCCTCTAAAGGATCTGTTTTAAACTAATGTTTTAATCCCCTCCTTGTTTCTCCCTCAGAAGTCCCAAGTAAGTTTATGAAGATTTCTTTGGGACAATCATCTAGTGCGTTTGTTGAACTATTACTTAAACAGAAGAAAAATAAAACTCCTATGAAGGGAAGCTCTACTCTCCAAAGAAACCTGACACTATACCCAACCACAGGCACTCCTTCTAGAAATGTTCAAACATCCAGTTGTTGGCTGGAAGTAGCCATTATAAACCTGCTTCCACCAGGATGTTGTTAGAGCAAACAGAAGAACTTGTCACATCAGTGCAGGAAAGGCAAGATCTTCCTTCTGCGGGTTGCTGCAGAATAACCAATAAGACAGTCCAGCACAGCCCCTTCCAAATTACAGCCACATAGATAAAGAGAGAGAAAGTCCTAGAGTCTGTGATTCTTTCTGTGCCCAGGAAGACTTTTCTTCCCAACAAAAGTAGTGGCAAAGAGAGACCAGCAGCTCAGATTCCTTTTTGCTAGGACATTATGCTTGGAAGAAACTCAGATTCAGGATTGTCTTGCAATTTAACCAGGTCCAATTTGTTGTGTTGAAAGGCCCACAGTATGTTTCAAATGGCACCTGCAATACCCCGTATCCTTGTTCTGCAAAGGTTCTTCTTCCAGTCGTCTTAAGAGTTGCTGAAAAGATCAGACCCTTACATAGTAACTTAATATTTTAGGTAGTAAAGCTATTATTACATTCACTCTGTAGATGGAAAAAAGGGAGTAGGATTCCTTTGTAAATTATTGCTCTTCTGCCCTTTTCTGATAAGCTCTTTGCATACACCCTTACAATAAATGACTGTTCTGTAACTGAGTGCACAAATTAGGGCTGTGCATACGTGGTTTTATTTGAAAATCTCTTCTTTGAATTGGCAACCTTAGGCTTTGGGAGAAGCTCACAACTCTCTTTGGTAGCCTGAAACAGTGTCTCAAGTAATGTAACATTTAAAAATTTCTCTTAGCAGTTACTGGGGGTTGTATAATTATTATTCCTTTTATATGCAAGCTTCAATTTCTATGCATAAATATGTCTTTGGGAACCAGTAACTTAAATTTCAAGAGCCAGATCCAGCTTTTCAGCTGGGATTTGGACATTTGTGCTTTAGCCTCATTCTCTCTTGCTCTCCCCAAGATAAGCAGTCTGTTTCCCTAGGACAGATATATATATATATCTACCTCCAAAATATTGACTTCAGAGGTGTGAGTCTGCAGCCAGTCTGGTGTAGATAACCTGTCATGCATGTTTTCTGTGACTTAGTTGACACTGATTATATTTTCTATTCATCTTTCACTGGATTTTGACAGTTCTAAACTTGAGAAAGCATCTAGCCTAAGGGCAGAAGAGTGAGACTGTAGATCATATGCGTTCTTAGATGAAGTGCTGCAAAGTGTTTCAGACAGCAAGGATTAGTGTAACCAATATGCTTTTATTGCGGAAATTGTGTGAATTCTTCTGGGAAAAGAACCAGTCCAAAGCTGTGCTCTCTGCCATCAATCTTAAAGTTCTTTTGAAGGCCACATCAGCTAATTGTTTTATTTTTCTTGCTCACACATACTCTTGGTATTGAAATGTGGGTTCTTTTTTCCAAACTTCTGATTTTACTTTAACTGTATGTTAAATATGGATTCTCGGGAGCATGCATTGGAAATGGTAATGATTTATTTGGGACCTGACTATAACAGTCATTATAATTACTTGTGTTACAGGTTGGAGTTCCAGTCAGGATCTCAGCCTCTTTGTGCTGGGTGTTTTACCATCTTTGTGCTTTACCTAGTGTCAGGTGACAATTCTCGTGTCTGCCTGGTTCCTTTAGGTCATTGCTATGTATGAGTCACAGCGGACACCCACAAATGAGACCTGAATAATCCCTGTAGAGATCAGTCTTGAGGCCCCCTCTATAAAGTTGAATGCAACATACATCTAAGGGAATTATGGTACACATAGTAACTCAGAGGCTATATTGAACAGTGACACCCTACTACTACATGTTAGTCTAACAATCCAGCTAGCTGATACGGTGAATATTTTAAGTAGTTTTAAGCAATAGGGACTGAATAGTACCTAACTAGTGTATTTCAAATAACTCTATCTCTAGATTAAGTCATCCAGAGAATATAAACTACAATTAGTGTTCATCTGTGCAAATAAGTCTTTTCTGGAAAGCTGATGAAGGCGTTAAGGCAGAATCACCTATCATCTCCATTAACCAAGCATCCAAGGAGAAATGGCACGCATGATAGGAAGACTGAGATTCCCATATTCATACTTTGCATGAATAAAAACATGCTATAGAAGCTGTTTGCTTTGTGTCAGGAGCTCAAACAATGATAAAAATCCATACTGACATCATAAATACCAGAAAAGGTCAACAGCAATTTTGGTGCAGGATCAAGTGCCCACAGCTGAAGAGGCATTGGCACATAGTCAATCCCAAACTTAAAATTTGCAAACACTCAGTATGTGGGTGCTTTGGCATATTGCTCTGTAGAATGCCTGAGGTAACAATTTAGGTTCATACTATTTTTGCAGCTTCTTCGGGAAAAAGAGCAAACAAAAAAAAAAATCACAACCATCACAAAATTCAACATCTTGTGTAGGTGGTTTGGTAAT